AGACTTTTGAAGACTTTTAAACATTTTATATTTTTACTTTAAAAGAAGTAAAAAAAAAAATAAATAAATAAAAATAAAACTAATTTCGATAAAAAAACTAATAAACGTAACTTATAGTCACTTATAGTCAACTAGCAACTTGATTAGTCCCTTGAAAGGCCAAGGAGAGCAAAGACAGGAGGTAAACAATGTTATTCAATAATAACAGAGAAGATAATAATAATAATAATAATAATAATAATAATAATAATGATTGATCATGATGAAGAACTTTTGTCTATGTAACGCTAGCAACCATCGAGGAGATAAAAAAAAAAAAAAAAAAAGTAATTTTGAAAAATACTTTCCTGCACTATGCAACTTAAAATGTCGAACGAAATCGACGTGAGTAAATGTAAAAACGCTTTATTAGCATAATTTTAATTACAAATATACAGATGTTTCTTAACAAATCTCTAGTTAAAGAATTCAACATTATCTATCGATCTATCTGTATGTATGTATGCATGTACGTATGTAGTATAGAGCAGTAGCGAAAACTGTTTCGATAATCATGTGTGTGCGCATGTGTGTGTTTCGTTAAAGACGACAGACAAATTACTGCGATTAGGCTTCTTATTTAATTTTTCTTGTGTTCGAACAAGTGTTTTATTTTTTGGACATAGATCGTGTAGAAACTATACAAATATTCTGTAATTGCGAGCACTTTCGGCTATACTTTTAGCTGCTATCAAAGATGATTTTATTTTTGTTTTTTAATTGGGTGTATGGGTTGTGTGTGTTTTTAGCGTTATAGGGATGTTTTATTTTCCAAACACAGTTATCACATTGTGGCCGTGTTCGTAGTTAATATTATTAATTATTGGCTTTTTCTTTTTTATTATTAAGGCTTCCATTAAATTTAATCTTTTTTTTTTAGATATGGATGAGGTTATTATGTTTGTATTTTCTACTAGTATGTTTCGGATGGAGTCTGGTTTGTGTGTGCGTTTAAATGGATTCTAATAGAGCTATGCTCTAATAGGTGTAATGTAAGGCGTCTGGATAGGCATGTAGTTGTGTGACCAATGTAATTATTTATGAATTCGGCTTGAACAGGAACACAGTTCCTTAAGGTTAGCTGTTTTAAATTTTTTGTAGTAGATAATTAATTTGAATTGTTTGTTTTGGTCAACTGGGGCAGTGTATTTCTTTATGAAGATTCATCTTGTTTGTAATTAATCTGCATTTGTTTTTTATAGAAAATATTTATGTTACACCTATCTGTTCATAGCTCGGAATTATAGAACATTTGGACAGTTTCTAGACACTCTGTGTCCCAAAAAGAAAAGACATGTTCAAACACAAGAAAAAAAAAATCAAATAACAAGCTTAATCGTAGTACCTTGTCTGTTGTCTTTAATGTAACATGTATAAATGAAGGATTGCTGCCTAAATACACAATATATATACATACAGTCACATACATGTATATATATATATATATATATATATATATATACACATATGAAGAAATATAGTTTTAAGGTGTGCTATATTTATGGAATAAAGTGCTCAATCTCAGGGATAGAGCGTATGTAAATATAAAAGTGGACATAGAAGTCAACACTCAGAGCCTCTGAGTGTTGACTTCTATGTCCACTTTCAAAAAACTTTCACGCGCACACACGCGAACCTTACACAATATAGGAAATGTGTGTGTGTGTTTGTGTGTATGTATGTGTGTGTATGTCTGTGTGTGTGTGTATGTATATGTCTACATATGTGTATACTAATTCCTCATAATAAGACAGTATGTATGTATGGAGAGGGAATATACATATGCGTACGCATGCTGACAAAAACACAAAAAATGGAAATAGATCTACAAACATACAGGGGTCATTAAAAGATAAGAATATAGATATCTTTCTCCCCCATTCTCGGACCAGACTTAATTGTTTTCTTACACTTTACGCAGAACTTTTTCACTGCCAGTTTAAGGAAGACATTTGGGTCACTAACACACAAAAAAAGAGAATGCCTCATATCGAGAATATTTATCATCAAAAACATAAGAAAAATTAATTCATTTTAATAATATGTGGAAATATCCACTCTTTGCCTGATGATGGTCACGAAACCGGAAACACGTGTAGCAAAATTATGGAAAAATACGCAATAATATATTTAAAAAAAAAAATCCACATTACAACCAAAAACGTTAGCGGTTTTTCTCTTCTTTTTAATATACACACATTTCTCTAGTTGTAACTACTATAAACTCTTTCCTTTATATATATATATATATATATATATATATATATATATATATATATATATATATATATTAATCAATTATTTTTAATCCGACATTTTAATTATTTCAAACGTTGTTATATTGTCTATTTCAGATAACGACTATTCAGTATAATAACTTTCAAAATAATATATATATATATATATATATATATATATATATATGTGTGTGTGTGTGTGTGTGTGTATATATATATATATATATATATATATAGGGAGAGTGAGAGAGAGAGAAAGAGTGAGAGAGAGAGGGCGAGAGAAAGAGAGCGGAGATAGATAGATAGATAGATAGACAGATAGATAGATAGGAACAGATTTATACAATATTTTAAAAGCCTGTATGTAACATTTTTCGAAAAATCCTTTTTAATTTCTTTTCATCCTGAATCATAAAAATGACGTCACCTTGTAAAGTTTTAACGCATTTAACCGATTTAAATATTTGTATATACTTGCAGGTCAGAGATTACTCCCTGCCGTTGATGGCATGTAACCCACAGCATTCTGTCGCGTTTTAGTTGGGGAAGTGATGGACACTGTCAATTAGCCCACAAAGCCCTAACAAGTGACATGAAGGACACACCAGCTGCATGGTGCCATCATATAACTGGATTTTATAATAGACTTTACACGTCTTTACCAACTGAGCTGCGATAAACCTTTGCGGTAAGTGCCGTACTAAATTGTAGTGTGCAGTACATTTTGTCGAGATTTTGACATATTTATTGGCTAGAATGGGCGGACATTAGTATAGCATAACTAGTCTCATTTTTTTAAATCACTAAACGGAATACGCATGCGCCCACTTTCTTTTTTTTCTCACTCAAAGAACCGATAACACATATTACGAGTGGATGGTTATCTGTGTGCGTCTATGTGTGGGTGTGGGGGTGAGAGAGAGAGAGAGAGACAGACAGACAGACAGACAGACAGACAGAGACAAAGAGAGCGAGAGAGCGGGTGTGAGTGTGTATGTTCGCGCACGCATGTGCGTGTATGTGGTTAGCCAAGACATTCTCTGTTTTTTTTTTTTTTCTAGCTGGGCAGCATTAGGAGTGTTTAGTTCTGTTACTTTCAAAAAGATCAATTTTGATTATATTTCCACAGTTTTCAAATGAACGCGCATTTTTTAAAAAAAATATTAAAACTGGTGTATTTTTTAAAAATTAATCTTAATTTTGAACATGAAGGAAAATAAGCAACATTTCTTACATATTTAGATATTTTTCTTTTTAAAAACCTTAAAAATGCTATTCAGGCACAAAACCTCAGAATTGTACCGAAAATGGAGAAGGTGCTTTCAGTAATCGAACTTGTGAAAAGTGGTTTGCGAAGTTTAATGTTATTTACACGGTCGAGTAGACTAGACGAGGTTGATAGCGATTCAGACATTACTTGGAAATAAGCAAATATAAGAGGCCGTGTAGATAGCGTAAGAGTTATCGGTGCTGAAATGGGAATCGGAGAACAGATTTCAAATTCTCGCCTAGTTTGTTGCATTCACTTTTGCACAAATACCTTTGAGGCAGGCATAAATCGATCTCTTCTCCCCCAGCTACGGGTTAAATAACACTGTTGACTGAGCTCTTTAGATTATAATTTCTGGAAATTTTCCGTTTCCAAAATTATTTTTTTATAATTATAGTTAAGATAGACGGAAAACTTATTTTTTTCATATAGCTTAACTGATACCAGAAAGACATAGGTTGAAAATTTTTTTCTGCAATCAATTCAGCATTGTTAGTTTTTTTCGAAAACCTCAAGCAAGCTTATTTTGGTCTGAGAACAGTCAAAAGCATTCACTATATAAATTAATGGTAATTGGTTCTAAGTCATGTCGCTCTACTTTCGGTTTCACAACACACACACACACACACACACACACACACATATATATATATATATATATAATTGAACCTAAAGAGCCAGATAAACCTACCAAGGTTTCACCTACGCGGATCGTCAGGGAATATTCCCTTGGTAGGCTTATCTGGCTCTTTAGGTTTAATTAGGTTTGCTCTTCTTAGCGTATTGAGCACTTTACTTAGTTATTTTACTTACTCGTATCGGTTTTTTTTCTTTGGACTCTGAACTTGGATGCTAGACGATTGTCTTCGGCTGACGTACATGTTCTTTCTTTTTTTGTACCTTTTTCCCTTGGGTATTGGTCTGTTTATTTACATATCAAGGCACCCAAGGTTTTCCGGACGAGTATAATTTCTTATATTTATAAGATTATTACTATATATATATATATATATATATATATATATATAAATTACCCGCATCCAATAAACTCTCCATTAATCATCTGAGAGACCCCTCTCTACATTCCATCAGCATGTCTGATGCTAACCGCCAAGAAAGTGACTCATTGCGCTTTCTCGGGTTAACGTTGTCAGTATGAAATGGAAAGACTATATTGAATTCATTGCTAGGTCAGCTGCTAAGAAAATCGGTTCACTATGTCGTGCGAAACAAGTTTTCTCTCCAGAATTTATCTTACATATCTATAAGTCTACCATTCGTCCATGCTTAGAATACTGCTGCTACATAGGGTCCGGGGCCCCTACTATTTATCTGGAGCTCTTTGATAAGTTCTAAAGAAATATCGCCTGGATGTGCGTACGTGTAAGATGTATTTGCTCTTTTCTTTCTCTCACTCCTTAGCTTCTCTCTTTTTTCCTTTTCCTCTTTTTTTTTCAATTGGATAGATAGATAGATAGATAGATAGATAGATAGATAGATAGATAGATAGATAGATAGAGAAAGAGAGAAAGAGATGTAGATGTACAAAAGAGATGTGCATACGTGTCTGGTGTCACGATTATTTATTTTCTTTTCTTTCTCTCACTCCTTAGCTTCTCTCTTTTTTCCTTTTCCTCTTTTCTTTCAATTATATAAATAGATAGATAGATAGATAGATAGATAGATAGATAGATAGAGAGAGAGAGAGAGACGTACAAAAGAGATGTGCGTACGTGACTGGTGTCATGATTATTTGTTATTTTCTTTTCTTTCTCTTACTCCTTAGCTTCTCTCTTTTTTCCTTTTCCTCTTTTCTTTCAATTTTATAGATAGATAGACAGAGAGAGAGAGAGAGAGAGAGAGAGAGAGAGAGAGAGAGAGAGAGAGAGAGAGATAGCTGTACAGAAGAGATAAGATGTACAAAATAATCTTTCTCTCGATTATTTTTTTTCGATTAGTCATTCCGTATTTTATTTGATATTTAATACGCGAATTGATATAAAATAAACTATAATTTATATTCTTATTTTATTTCTATAAAGTATCTGACTCCTCCGGCTATGATTCAACTTTACATGAACCGTATCAGATCAAAAATGGAGTACTGCTGTCATATCTAAGATGGAGCTGTTCCGTCTTCAATTGCCTGGCGTGATAGAGTTCAAAATCACGTACCCAGCCTTGTAGGTGATGAAATATTTTCCACTTTACAACCCCCTTTTCCACAGACGGGATGTTCCATGGCAAATGTTCTGATGAACTACATTTCTTAGTTTTACCAGTTCCGACCATCACATATTCCGTAGTCTGCGACAAAAACATCCCCATTCCGTTCGTATTCCATTAGTAAAGAAGAAGACGTGCGGCATGGATGTAAGAGGAGAAAGTGTGAAGTTTGATCAAGTAACTGTAGTTCCGTAACCATTCAACTGTTTCAAAAACTTAGCGAATGCCATTTTGATGTGTAATATAGCCGTTGTAATACTTGTCTGTTTAATATTCTACGAATTATTGCGACGACGGATTTCCAGCGTTCTGGGTATTCTTTAAGCACTATTTCGAGTTGGCTGATGGTTTTCAGTCATCTCTCAGGTTAAATGATGTGCAGGGGGCGGGAAACGTGAAATCGGAGTGCGAATTTCGTTACATTCACTTTAGCGTAAATACTCTTGCGAAAAGTATTAATACATTTCTTCTCCTCCGAACTATGGGTTAAATACAAGAAACAGACTGGGCTTTTTATGTTTGGTTGGCAACCAATCTAGAAGAAAGAAAGCTCTGAAATGCTACGAAACGCAGGTGAAGCACATACTATGTATGGCACTTAACGAAAGGAGCTTGTAGTTTATAATCACTTTATGACCTCATCTGCGGTCATTCAATCAATTTCATATTGAAATATTCTTTAGATGGCCTGATATTGCATTAAGCTAGCAATTTCCTTCCATTTATGAGTGATAAATAAGACGGTGGAAAGGGGTATGTGAAACTGCAGCAAAAATTTACTATCGCCTTCCCTGGATTGATGAGCCTCAATCTCAATCAATTTATTTTTTTAAGTCCTTGGGTGCTGTTTAGTTCTCGTTAAGATTTATAAAATTATGAGTGAATGTTTAATTTGTAAAAGAAATTCCCTTCTAAAGTGATGTTGAACATTACAATATACAGTTGGTGGGTAGGGGTATAAGAATTATTCAATTTTAGCTGTTGTTCCGACCTAAGTTTCTGCTAATCATTTGGCTAGGACTCGAATACTTATGCAAAAGTTATTATTGCTAATTGTAAAAATAATATAATTAATTATATTCATTTTCTCTTCTTAAATGTTAATTAACATATTAAACTGTTTTACTAATGTTAATTAAGCATATGAATATCACAAAATAAAAATCAAATTTTGGATGATTAAAGTAATTTGGGAAAAGTTGAATACTTATATAATAATAATAACAATAATAATAATAATTAAATAAAAATAAAGAATTGAGTGAAAATGCTCTCCATAAATGTGTTTTTTTTTTAAAAAATAAATTATCTTATCTAACCCCCATAAGTAACACTGAAATATCTAAAGTGAAATGTTGACACAGAAATAGAAAAAGAAAAAATTATATAATTCAACCCTCATCTCTTTTGTAAACTGTCAAATATTAATATCGGACAGTATTTTCTGAAGTTAATAAATAAACATTTTAACAAAAACAACTCTCTAAGTAAGATCTTCAAAACGATTAAAATTAGCTATTCCTGCACCAATAACATGTACAAAATTATCAACTCTCATAATAACTATATTTTAAGTAAGTTCTATTGGATAAACAACAAACCTGTTATGGAACCCTTCTGTAATTGTAGAGATAAAGAAGGTTGTCCAGTTAAGAGCAAATGCAGATCTACTAGTGTTATATACCAGACAACCATTTTCCCCGTAGAAAATGTGTTACATTATAATGCTTACAATGGAATTTCTGCGGCTTACCAACCCTAAATTAAAATACCAGGCAGCACTTTCAAAAAAGTTTTGGGAATTAGAGGAGAAAGGTCTCAACCCGCAAATAGACTGGAAAATTATAGGTTTCGCTCATACTCCTAATAGTTTTAGAGATAAGTTTAACTTGTTTTAGTAGAAAAAATTAGAATAATAAAATACAATAATCAAAGCAAACTATTAGGTCAAAGGAATGAATTAGTTTTAAAATGTCGACATAAAAATAAATTTAAACTTCTATAATATAGATTTTGCTTTATTACTTTTTAATTCTCTAACTCTTCAAATGTCGAATATATAACTATTTCTAATTTCTATATTTCCATTTTTTCACCATAATAATTATATCTTATAATTGTCCCCTATTCTAAGAACTCTTTTAACTTTTATCACTTACACCTCTTTATCTATACATTTTTAAATTTCTTTTTAGTTTTTAAATTTAACTTTGTATGTATTTTTTTAATATAACTAGATTTAACTTATCTTTAAAAAGTTAAAAAATGTATAATTTATTTTATCTTATAATATTTTTTTTTTCAAATTTGTTATTCTTTTATATAATTTTTTAAAATATATTCTTATTTAATTTAATATAATTTACCTAAATATGACTTATTTTTAATCTTTTTAATATATCTTATTTTTAAGTATAATTTATTATTTTTAAGTAGGAACCTAAACTTTTTATATATATATATATATATATATATATATATATATATATATATATATATATATATTAATATAAAACTCCCTTTTTTGGTCCTCTGTTAGTTTCAAATTTACACTTCCTTCTTCATATAACCCCAATTTAATGTCATAAGATTAATATCCGGGGTTAATTTTATAAAACCTCTCCCCTTTAAGGCTAATTTCTTCCACCCTCCCCTAACCACCGACTCGGGCATTTTGTCTGACTGAAACATCGAAATGGATAAATTCTGTATCAATTTTTCGACAGTTGTCAAAGTTAAATTAACTTCTCATTCCAACACGAACACAGTCTATACACCGGGGTTGAATAAGACTGATATAGTTTTGTCAGTTGAAATAGATATATTCCCTCCATATAGGGTATGATCTTGGATTTTGTTGTGCAATATATATATATATATATATATATATATATATTTATTAAAGACATTTTTATGTTTAACGTTCTTTTTTGTAGATACAAGTATTTAAGTAAATGCTCTGTTTATAATAAACAGTATTAAATATATATATTCAGGCCGGTAAATGTTATTTAATACTGTTTTATTATAAACAAACATTCTTAAATACTGTATCTATAAAAAAAGAACGTTAAACAAAAAAAAGGTCTTTAATAAATAAATTGTCGGACTTTGTCCATTTCTTAATATATGACGTTATTTGTTTACATTTGATACGCCAGAGCAGTTATGAATGTACGAGATTCATGGAAGATTGAAGTTTATAAGCAATAAATTCGACCTTGCCTACCGAACGCTCCTTTGTGGCCGAGACGGTAAGGCACGGTTTCGTATAGGATGCAGGTTCGAATCCAGTCAAAGGATGAATATTTCCTATGAAAATTTCTCGGACATTCAGGCCGGTAATGTTATTTAATACTGTTTATTATAAACAAGCATTTACTTAAATACTTGTATCTATAAAAAAGAACGTTAAACATAAAAATGTCTTTAATAAATAAATTGTCGGACTTTGTCCATTTCTTTATATATATATGGAGAGAGAGAGAAAGAGAGAGAGAGAGAGAGAAGGATAGGATGAGAAAGTTGCTATAGAAACAAACACTGTAGGCTGACTGTCACACACTTACAACGATCTTCAGACCCTGTGTTACTACTCCTTGCGTGAGGTCTCCATATATAGGTCATTGTGGGATTATGGGAAGAGGAAAACCCGTTCATCTCACTTCTTTTGCTTAGAGCTAATGTTTTAGGTTATTTTTTCTTTTTATCCTTGACCTGTAGTTTGCATTTTTTAATTATTTATTTATCTCTTTATTAGTATTATTTTATTTATTTATTCTTGGATATTTTGTTCGGTTATGAATTTTGGTAATTGAAATAAAGTTTATTAGATTATAGTTTAAGGATATTGTTTCGTCTTTTGTGTCTTGATGTAGTTGTAGGTAGAGTAGTAGGAATCTTTTTCGCATCTATATTTGCGCTATATTAAATGTGATTAAATCTCACCCAGCACAGCTTAGGGTTGCTACTACTTCCACTCAGTACAACTTAGAACAAACACAGGGCCTTATGCTAACACCGAGCCCGTTGAAAATGGTTAATGAATAGGTCGAAAGCGCTTGGGACACTAAATACTACGGCTAGTTTGCATACTTTCTCAGCCTCCCCGACACCCAAAGGAATCCGTAAGAACATTAGAAAAACTTGAAAAAAAAAAAGATTTTCCTTGTCTGCCACATTTAATGAAATGTTTATAAAAGAAAGGTTGCTGTTCAAATATACAACATTCACACACACACACACACACACACACACACACACACACACATATATATATATATATATATATATATAAAAAGAAAGAACAGTAAGATATATAATCCGGTGTTCTTATTGATATTTTTTATTTTTACAAAACTTTCCTCAATGTTAATTTACAGGGAATAAATTTTTTATTATATAATTAAATTTGACGTTTTTAGCTTTAGTTTTTGAAACATGGTTATTACTGTGTAGCGAAGAAACCATATTTTAAATCAGTTAATTTTAATATATATATATATATATATATATATATATATATATATATATATATATATATATATATATATATATAGATAGATATGTATGTGTGTGTGTGTGTGTGTGTGTATCCAACTGCGCTGACTTATTTCAATGAGAATCTACCAGGAAGATGGATCAGGCGTGCCAGTGATAATGACAATGTGC